CTAAGTGGAAACTAGTTTTGTGTGTTGTGTGTTCCTGTGTCGGTAAAGAACCGTGCACCAGTTTCTGAGCGACTCATCAGGCTCTAATCATCATCCTCTTCACGACAACAGCTCTACAAGCAGCAATGAAATCTGCTGGTTTTCTTTACAGCGCCTCTGAGAGCTGAGTGGACACGCAGCTGCAAACAGCAGGAGTCCAGCTCCATCACACAGCATGCACTCCTAGGAATGTTGCTTTTAATCCACAAAAACAGCAAATCTGGACAAACGGAGAGGAGATCATCCAGAGGTCAAAGGTTTTCGTTCCTCTGCAGACACAACATCCCAACAAACATCGCTGTGACCAGAGATCCCAAAGTACTTTTAAAAAGTATTTCACAAGTTCAGTGTTGCATCTGATGTCAACAAGTCATTAAAATGAAGGTTTTCAACTTTTTATTTGATTTCTGTAGAAAATAAAATCAAAATGAGCGACTGGAGAGCTGAGAGTCCTGCCGTCTGCAGGTGCTGCTGAAGGCAGGATGCTCCGTGTTGGTGGTCGGGTGGAAAGCAGCGAGTCATCGATCATGTAACACACACACACACACACACACACACACACACACACACGTTGTCAACTCACAATGTTTAGCTTTAATCTGTTTATATGAAGTGTCCTGAGCAGTGGAACAATTCTGGGTTGGCATGTCCCTACACACACACACACACACACACACACACACACACACACACACACACACACACACACGCCTGCACGCACACACACACACACACACACACACACACACATGCACACTATCAGCTCTGTTATAATAAAATCCTGCTGCTTATGGAGCTTCAGGACACGTTTACATGGACCAGACCTTCTATCTGTTGGATAAAACTGTTATTTGTGACTCCCACATGCTGCTGGAGACGTGCAAAAATGGGTTTTAGGTGACTGCAAACTGATAACAGAAGAATAAAACAATTTAGGCTTAAAGCATCACCGAGTTCTGATTCATCTGATTTTAGATGAATGTGTTAATATTTGGGGCTGCGCAGTGGTGCAGTAATTAGAGCTGTTGCCTTGCAGTAAGAAGGTCCTGGGTTCGATTCCCAGCCTGGGATCTTTCTGCATGGAGTTTGCATGTTCTCCCTGTGCATGCGTGGGTTCTCTCCGGGTTCTCCGGCTTCCTCCCACAGTCCAAAAACATGACTGTTAGGTTAATTGGTCTGTCTAAATTGTCCTTAGGTGTGTGTGTGTGTGTGTGTGTGTGTGCATGCGTGATAGTTTGTTCTGTGTGTCTCTCTGTTGCTCTGCGATGGACTGGCTCTCTGTCCAGGGTGTACCCCGCCTGATTGTCCGTTGACCGCTGGAGATAGGCACCAGCCCCCCCGCAACCCCACGTGGACAAGCGGGTTCAGAAAATGGATGGATGGTGTTAATATTTGACTCTCAGAACTAAATCTCCGTGATGAAGATAAACCTGGATCATTTGTGTTTGTTCTTTGATAAACGTGTTGGAATTATCCCCATCCGTTCCATGGTTTTGGTTCTGGGATTCTTCTTTGAGGTTTCTGAATCAGATCTTTTACGTTTTTGTTGTTTCTGGTGTTTGAACGGTCTTTGTGCCCTTTGACCTTTATGAGTTGATTGAGAGTCCTCTGAGACCTGACTGCCCTGCTCACCTGCACCTGTTCATCTCAGGTCATTCTTGTTTCTGCCCACATGGACCTGATGTGACTTGATCCGAGTCTTCTAAACCACCAAGAAGACCGTCTCATTTTGGAACAGTTACATTTACTGAAGTGAATCGTCCTGTCTGCTGGACTGTCTCCAGCCCTGAAATGTTGATATAAATCAACAACCTTTAGGATTGAGGAGGGAAACGTCATCCAGGGTGCAAAAAACCTGAAACTGGCCTTTCTAACCACATGAGGATAGGAAACGTTTACCCACAAGTGTCAGAAAATGATCAAAATGGTATTCTGGAAGTGATTCCAAGTGAAGTAAAAATGTCAAGAAGAACCTTCTGACATCATGGTCCACCATCCTGCAGCTTCCAGCTGCTGCCTGCAGATCCTGTGAGAACGAGAGAAACCTGGAAATCTCAGTTTTGTTCAGTCATTTAAACTAATCACATGTTGTTCAGGTTTCATGTGTTTTTATACATTTTCAGTTTCAAGCGGGGCATGTGCTACCCCAGGCCACTCCCTGCACACGCCCCTCATTCCACCCTTTTTATGGGTTTTATTGATGCATGAAAGGCTTTGGATCGTGTAAACTAAAAAACTACAGGTCAGGGGGTTAAGTCCCTAATTAGGATTTATCCTGCTGGTACACTCACCAGTCTGTTAAACGGGGTGCTTGTGTGTCCTCTCCTTTTAAGGTTTGTAATGGAGTTAGACAAGAAGGTATTCTGTCTCCTTTTTTTTTATGTCTATACGTACGAGCTGTCCAAGCGGCTCAGTGACTGGAGAACTGGATGTGTGGTTGGAGGGACAATAATAAACCACATAGGTATGCAGATGATGCAGTGATCTTCGGTCCGCACAGTGCTGGCTCTCAGCAGCTGCTGAGGGTCTGCTCTCCGTCTGGGTCAGAGTTTGACATCATCGTGAGAAGTAAGGAGGACGGTAAGCTGGTATTTCCAGGCTTCTCTGCATCAGGTGGTGTTCTTGAACCATGATTAAATATCTGGGACTGCACATATCTGCTGATCTGACAGATGATGTGGACATCTACAGACAGCGCTGCCTACTGGATGCACAGGCTAACACTCTGATGCGCAGGTTTAGATTGTGTTCTTTTCAAAGTGAACTGTAAATGAACACATGACAGCATCATTTTCTCTTGGGGTATTTTTACAACTTTCTCTGCAGCAGACAGTAACTTTAGCCCAGTGTAGGTGGCCGTGACCTAGAGAGCTGCTATCCAGCACGTTTCAGTGGTTTTCCTGCTTTAACAGGTTAGATTAGCTGTTCAGCAGCTAAGCTATTTGCTGCTGATTAAAACCAGGTGTGTTGATGCAGATAAACCTCTAAAACATGCTGAATACTAGCTTTTTAGGGCCGTGGAGCCGAACCCTGCAGCTAATCTAATGCTATGGCTAACAGCTACTCACCATTCAGTGCTGGTTCTGTTGGGTCGGCTCCGGTAGTTTCAGGCAACTCACAAGCTCAAAACAATAAGGCTCAGGTCCGCTTGTCTCCTCCAAATAGACTTGGTTCCTTTCTTCTCAAGTGTCTGGGTAAGGAGGGGGAGAAACGTCCTCCACTTCTAGTGACTGCTCAGAGTGAAGGGAGCTAGCATCGTCTCATTACCCATCCGACTTTGTCACTGCCGTGGCTCCGCCCTCTCAGTCCGCCAGGCAACGCCTACTAATGTTGCAGTTTTTAAAATTGATACGTGGGTGGAGAAGGACTCTGAGGCAGGCTTGACCCGCTCTTTAAGCGCACAGATGTACACTGCCCATGATGGTATGGTATCCCTCAGAAAGCCACACCTTCCTCAGATACAAAGCACTGTGAATAAGAATGTTCAAAACTCTTATGTGAGGTGAATATTAACCTTAATATGTATTTTATTGTAATGTGTTTGAGAGTAAACATTGATTAACTCGTTAAATCAACGCAAACTGATCATAAGATCTGAAATGGATCGTTGTAAGAGCAACATTCACTAAAAAGCCATCATTGGTTTAAGCACAGCTCATTCAAACATTTGACTTAAACATCTTGCTCATTCATCACAAATGATTATTTAACTTATAACTGTAAATTCATGTAGGTGCTTCAAGTATTCTTGATTTTTATTTAAGGTGAGGAATCACCAGTCTGACTTTTACGCAGAGAGTGCAGGACCTTGGGAGGCTGCAGTGAGGAACAATAAGTGGGCAGAGGTCGTTTTGTGCGTCTGGATCCTCCAGCTGGTGCAGCCTCAACGTTCAATTCAATTCAAAAATACTTTATTAATCCCAAAAGGAAATTCAGTTGTTTCAGTTCACACAATTCCAAGATCAGACATACATACATAGATGCATGACAGGAATTGGTGACTGTGGTCATTCGCAACACGAGTCGTGCTACCGTTATAGATCAAGAGGGTTTATATGAGGATTGAGTCGGGGGAGGGAAAAAAAGGCACTTCAGAGTTACCCCGACAGAGAGGATTGCTTTGCTATGCAAAAAAACACCTCAGACAGAAATGCACACAGACTTCAGACGATACACAACATGAGTATCCACTAGGTGGGGAGGTAGGGTTGGGACTCTCCTCACTTCAGTGCGTGCAGCCGCAAGAGCAGCGCTCATCACCTCCGTTTGGACATGGGAGGGAGATAATGGGTTAGAGGGCACATTGGCTCCTAGATACGGTTCCACGGCCTTCACCGGTCACAGTCCCGCCCAGGCTGGGATAGGGAGAAATGGTTTCCATAGCGACAGCAACATTCCACATTTCTTCTGAGGGGAGTTTTCACTTCAGCCTCACAGGCTTCAAGGGCACCAGATTCAGATAACAAGAATTGTTTTGGGTACAGACAGAGATAATTTCCTCTCTGCCTTACAGTTCTGTCGGTCTTCAACCCCTCCAGGTCCCAATAATGGTATTATCAATCCGTGCTGATCTGTCAACTCTCTCCTTGATCGAATCAACCTTCTGTGCCAGAGTCTGAATCTCAGCCAAAGTTCCAAGCTTACGACTCATTTCGACAATTATATGAGTCTGTGAGTTTACAGCACGATGCATTCCATCCCTGAGCTCCGGGAATAAGCCAATATTCCTCAAAAGCTCATTAATTTTCCGGTATGCCAGGTAACCGCTCAGGCCAAACAGCAGGAATCCCGGCACCAAAACGCCAAATATCCAAACATCTTCAGAATCCTCTACTGACAGTTGAGACAGGCATATCAAGTTCCACTGTTTCCAGGAGTCCATGATATACCCAGCTGGCTCTGTCCCAGTTTCTAGCGTGTATGAAAGGTTATACTGTGTCAGTTAGATGGTGAAAAATTGACCCCTTTGATACGTGACAACCCCACAGTGGGATCTGCCCTAAAACTACCCATATAGTTGCTCTGTTAGTGTCAGTCCATGTGGGGAATTCAGGGGTCTACCCAGTTCAGTTCCTCTAGGTGAGTTCTGAGGGCACCCCACAGTGGGAATAGCTAACCACAGTGGCCCTTTGTTGTCAGCCCATGTAGGGAATCCAACAGTCTGCCAAGTGCCTCATGGGGATTTCTACGGGCACTCCATAGTATCATGTGCCCAAAGACCACCCACAATTGCCCTGTGTCAGCCCAAATGAACAATCCAACAGTTTTCGCAGAAGAATTTCTCAACGTGACTTCTATGTGCCCAAAGACTACCCACAGATTGAGTGATTTTTGGGTTAAATTGGGCAGAACGCTGGATTTCCCACATGGACTGACACCAACAAGGCCACTGTGGGGTGGCCATAGAAATAAGCACAGTTAACACATAAGTGCAAACATCCACTGGGCTGGCGCAGGGCCTCCCACAAGGGCTCAGAATAGATGGATTTAGGCAGATATATGTCGGTGGGTGGCTCTGAACTAAATCCCAAAGGGGCCCACGTGGGAAAAGACATATAAACCCCATTTAAACTTAAGATCCTCGTGTGCTAACTCTGGGGTGAGTGTAGATTTTCCCTGCCTATTCACCCCAGACACAGCCCACTAAAGCCCATGGTGGGGCCAGAGGAGCACGGTTGCGGGGTGTCTTTGGACTCTCCAAATGATGGTGCCCACATGTGCCCTACATAGGTCTGACTGTGGGCAACCCTTCGTGGGTCACACTTTTGCCCAGAGAGATCCCACATGGGGGCCCTAATGGGCATGTTTGCATCCCTCTCCAACATCAACTCCATCCCGTTCCAAGCTGCAATGTTGACAGAGGAGTCATGTGCGCGGAAGGTTGCGGGTTCAAGCTCCGTCTGTTGCTGTCGTTGTGCCTTTGGTCAAGACTCCTTACCTGCTGGTTGTGGTCAGCGGGACTGGTAGCATCTGCTCATGGCAGCCCCGCCTCTGTTGGTATGTTCCACGGCAGCTGTGGCTACAATGTGTGTGTGTGTGTCTGGGTGAATGACTGTTTGTGTTGTAAAGCACCTTGGGGGGTTGTCTGTTACACCACATCCTAAAGGTTCTGGGCTGAGATCTGGTGTCCGTGGAGGTCGTATGAGTCCAGTAAACCCACAGTCATATTCTAGAAACCAGTTAGAGACATGGTGCATTGTCCTGTTGGACATAGCGTCAGAAGATGGCCCATGTGGTTTTAAAGGGATGGACATGGTCAGACAACACTCAGGTGGGGTTTAGGTGGTACTGAGTCCACAGTGGGACAGGAACCACCATCATCACATTACCACCATGCTGAGGCGTTGATACAAGGCGGGATGACCCAGCTGAGTCCAAACTGATCAGACCAAGAAAGGTTTTCCAATCTCCTCTGGTCCAGTTCTGGTGATCCTAGGTGAATTGTAGCCTCAGGTTCCTGTTCTTAGCTGCAGGAGAGACACCTGGTGCGATCTTCTGCTGCTGGAGTCCATCTGGAGCAGCCGCTGGTTCTGCAAACCTTTGGAACCAGAGGGGATCTGTTGATATGTTTTATTATTCTTGTGGGACGCCTCATGATTTTTTTCAAGCAGCTGAACTGGCGTTCCTAATAAATACAGAACTTTAATAATAAACAACAGATGAATCCAATTTAAAGCAAATTGTTTGAAATTATAAACTCCAGATGAAACACGTGCGTTGTCTCTCCTCCTCCTTCCTGTTGAGGGAGGAGCGCACCTCCTCCGGCTCAGTCGAGCGGCGGCTCTCCTCCGCGCGTCATGCGCACATCCTCACGCACCGGACACCGGAGACTCCCGACACACACACCGACACCGAGCGGCTCACTTGACGGATTGTTGTAATTGACCAGCAGAAGAGTTTTTCTAATTTAAAGTTAAACTGAGAACTCTCTTCATTTATTCACTTTCTTAACTGTCAACGACAATGACTCTGCACCGGAGGACGGGTTCCGGAGGCTGGAGGTTCGGTAGGACGCACCTGGTTCTGATCCTGCAACTGACGATTTGGGAAACGGTGAGCCCAGATTTACTCTAAATTAGCAAAGCTGCCGCTAACGGCACACAGGCGTCACTTATTATTACAACATTTAATAAACTCCTAAATAAATGTTTTGCGGTGACATTTGCAGTTTTATCATGTTTCACGTTTATTTTCTCTTGCTCCTGCAACATTTTGCAGTAAAACTGTTAAAATGGCGCAAAACGGGTGAAACCTGCAGAATGTTTTTCTAACGTTATAATGAAGTTAAGTAAAACTTTTATGTGGATTTATGAGCTTTTCTCTGCTTTATTTGGCCTCATGGTGGAAAGTTCCTGTGATTTAGGACCATAATTCCCTGGATGAAGACTCACTCTGCTCTGTTATTTCCCCTGGAACCATCAGATCTAATGAACAACACACCGCCCTCTCTGTTTCCAGATAAACTTCTGACGCTCCTTCGCTCTTACGCAGATGTATAATAAAACACGTCCACCTTAGAATAAATCAATGAGAGGATGATGCCTCCTGCGGCTCCATTACGATGGATGCGCCTGTCTCTGCTGTCGGCTGCAAAGAGAATATTTTTTGCCTTTTCTTATAAAATGCATAAACTGGATTGAAATAAAAATAATCCAGGGTGAAGAGGAATGTTTCTGATAGATTTTTCTGAACCTGGTCCTCTTAAAGGCTGCAACTTCTAACCTGTTGAATTGTTTCTGCAGTAATTTGTTCTCATGTTGTTTCCTTAATGGTAAATTGAAGAATTAAATAAAAACTTAAGTAGACGTTCCAAATAACTGAGAAGCTGAAATGAAATTTGTCCTCCTCCGGTTTCCTGCTGCTGACTCTCTTTTGAACCCTGACATCAAATTAGCCTCCGCCCCCGTCTGCAGCCGGGGGCGAGTCCAGCCTCTTCCTCCTCAACGAGCAGCAGGACCATCAAATCAATTCTAAAGGCCACAGGTAGCCGGAGCAGAGAGGCCCAGCCCGGAAGATGTGATGTCACGTTTGCCACATCCTGCTGAGGCTCCCTTCGATGTGATCGGATTCTTTTATAGGATGGAGAGGATGCTTCTGACTCGTGGGAGGAGAGAATGCTCCTGGAACCCCCCAAGGCGTTTTACAACACAGTCAGACATTCACCCATTCACTCTCTGGTGGGAATGAGCTACAATGTAGCTACAGCTGCCCTATAGGGCGCACTGACAGAGGCGAGGCCTGCTGTACACAGACGCCACCGGTCCCTCCGACCACCACCAGCAGGCAAGGTGGGTTAAGTGTCTTGCCCAAGAACACGACAGCAGCGACAGACTGAGCAGGGCTTGAACCTGCAACCTTCCGACAACAGGGCGAGCACTTGACTCCTGTGCCACCGTCACCCTAAAAGAATATGACAGATCATCTCCAGACTCCGGACCTCTCTCCCCCTGAGCCTGAGAACAGTGGACTCAGTGGCCTCCTTTAAACTCACCTGTTCAGGCTTTGGTGTGACCTCCATCACCCTCTCCTTGTTCTGCTCTCCCTACCTACTTCTGATTTCCCTCTTTCCTATTCTCTCTCTCTCTCTCTCTCTCTCTCTCTCTCTCTCTCTCTCTCTCTTTAAATTTTAAATCATTTTTAACATGTTAATCATTTTCTAAATTCTTTTTTATATTTTAAATTATTAGTTTTTGTGAAGCGCCTCGGGATTTTTATCCTCAGAGGCGCCATAGAAAAGATCTTTTCTTCTTCTAAAATATAAAAGAATATAACATAACCTTATGTTGATTCATTCAATCCTGCTGCGTAATCAAGACTCATTAAAATCATTTTTCAGACATTCGTTGTATAAAACAGAGTATGATTGTGATGGACCTGTGAAGTGAGGAATTCCTTCTGTGAGACCGGACAAGAGTAGTTTATTAAAGTTGGAAAGTTGAGTCTTGTGGAGGACTTTGTGGCTTCCAGACACACGCAACACTTCTTCTGCATAAATAAAACCAACACAACCTCCTCATCAAGATCTGTTCTTCATGGCTGACCCTGCAAGAACCGTTACACTTCATTTATAAGCATCAAATATCATATTTTAAAGCGGGTTTGAAGATCAAAAGGGAGATGCACATTTTAAAGTTGACATCAGAGATGTTCGACGGCAGAGACACCGTTAAAAATGCCTTTTGGCCTCGGCATTGGTTCACTGACGCTGACGTCATAGACATTTTCTGTCTACGGAGGATTTTTATTTTTATTTTCTGGAACTGAAAACTATCGATTCCACTGTGGTTTGACAGGAAGATGCCCATGACTCCATACAAAACTAAAATAATTCAAAACAAAGTAAAGCTTTGTGGATTAATTTGTCTCTAAATGAAATAATTATTGGTTTGATGTAAACAACACGAATAATCTGTTTATTTAAAATCAATAACAGAGTCTAATGTACTCTCTTAACATTTTCACACTAACATTCTCGTGTATTTTCTGAGTCATACCATACATTTGTGACATTTTTAATGTTTAGTGAGTTTATTCATAAAGTATTTTATTTACCTCTATGCTCATATTTACCAAGAACAAATAGATTTACATCATCAGCAAAGTATAGTTGGGTTCCGTTGATGAATGGAATAAAAGGTTTTTGTCCGATAACTCGTCTCTGTGGCACTCCACGGGTAACGTTACTGAGCTCTGACGCAACATTTTCTATTTTCCAAATAATCATTCAGACAAAATGTGTGTTTGTCTTATTTCACACCTTCTCCAGCTTCCCTTTAACTCATTCGCTGCCAGCCGTTTCCTGATCGCTAAAGCCCTTCGCTGCCAACGTTTCTCACTGTTTTTACTGTTTTTTTCTTAAGAGTCACAGAACATTGCACGCTAGGATGATGTCGACGCCAAAACAACCAAAACAAAGAGGAGACTCACCTCTTACATCAGGAAAAATCCGCGCGTTTCGAGCGTTCTTTCATAATCTGTTGTTGAATTGTGATCGGCAGAAGCTTTTCCGGTACGCGCCTCACTTTTTTTTTACAGCGGCGGCCCAAAACAATCTCCTAACACATGGATGTTCTGCTTCCTGATCACGTGACGTGTGACGTACGCGGATGAAGATCGGCTTTAGAGCTGAGATGTTTGTTCTCACGGTGCGGGGGCTCGTCCGACGCCCACACAGTAAAGTCGTCATTTGCAGTGAATGACTTAAAATCAATGGGATAAAAAAAAAGATCAACTCTATTTATGCATTTATTCTGGTGACGACTCGTCCGTAAGTGAGATGAAAGAGGAAATCAAATATTACTAAAACTGTGCTCATTTTCATTTTACAACATTTATTAAAATGCTTTTATCAGAGAGCCAGGAAAGGGCTTTTATCACCCTTTGACCCGCGTTTCTGACATTCCCCAGCCTTTGAGCAAAGCTAATTGACTTGAGTCCTAATTATCACTCGGGGACAAGAGTGGGATTCATCTCCCGTAACCCAGACACCAAACTACATGTCACCCAGACAGGAAGCCGCTTGACCGACCAGAAACGTCTCAGTATAATTTACCCGAGAGTCAAAAGGCTCCAGCTGTAAATGCAGATTGAAATCATCACACAGACTCGCGGTAATGATGTCACAGACCTTACAATAATCTCTCCTTTTCATCGCCGAGACGATTTAGATGCAAATGACGGCGGCTGACCTGAGCCGACCCCCGCCCGCCCGGAGAGAAAGACCCCATCAGGACAACGACTGAATCAAAGCGTTAGCATTCAGGCTGCAGGGTATGATAGTTAAGGTCTTCTGTCTCCGGCACAATCAGACTGTGTTACCCTTCATGAGGTGAAGTTATTAAAACATCTGCCAGACGCGTGAGTCACTTCAGATTCTCCTCATATCATCAAACAGCTAAAGAGCTCGTTCTGGGGCCCCGGAGGACAGATGTCCCGTTATTATCTCGCTCGTTTGAGAGGGCGGCTCTGACTGCAGTGTGTTCATGTAAATAAGGGGAGTTTGTAGACCACCGGGCTAAAATAGATAACAAGTGTTTAGCTTTTTACTGGAAACTCTTCTACAGCAGGCAGGCTGATGAGGGATGCAAACGCAGGAATCTGCAGCCGTGTGGTTCAGAGTCTAACGGGATGTTTCTGTGCTTTTCAGACGGAGTCCATGCACCCAGACTGCGCTCTGGTGGTGCAGCACATGGAGGCTCAGGAACAATGCAGCCAGGTTCTCCAACAGGAGGAACACAACCACACCTCCAAAGCAGGTCAGAGTGCTCTTCTTCTGCCATGGAGAAACAGATAGAGGAGGTGGTCGTGGAGCAACCAGCCGCTCCTCTCTGGGTTTAACTGGCTCTGTGCTGGGAGGCGAGGGAATGACTGGGATTACTCAATCTCTAGTCCGAGATTAGCATCAGTGTTTTCACTTTCATAAGGTTTCTTTATCTTAGCTCAAATAAAGCAAAATAAGTTTGTTTCAGAAGTTAAAAACATCTCGTGTTTTTTTTTCCTGTTCTTTTGCTTCCATGAAACCAGAACCGAGTTGTTATTTTAGCTCTTTTAACCATTTAAACTCAAATCCCCATCAAACCACTTCTGGCCTTGAAGCTAGGGTAGACAACTCCCTTCCCCGGGAGCTCGTAGCCAACATGTTTTAGTCGTTTCCCTGCTTCAACACCCCTGATTAGAATCAGCAGGTCTTCTGCAGAGCTTGATGAGCTGCTGAAGAGGTGAATCAGGACCGCTGGAGCAGGGAAGCGTAGCCTAAACCACCACGTTGGAAGTCTCCTAGAGCCACAGCATTTCGTTTTTTAATGAATAAACTAATATTTTATTGTTCAGTTTCAAGTTGAACCTGCTAAACAAAATATTAAATCAGCTAAATTTTTATTTAAGAAATTCTAAATGATTTTGTAGTTGTATTAAACTGTGACATCAAAGTGGCCCAGCCGAGGGACAGTTAAAGGGTTTCTGTCCTATTCTAAATGTTTGTGACTGTGAGACGTGAAGACGTTTGATTAAAGAACAGAAAAGCGTCCGACTCCCTGGGTCTGATGGGCCAGTTGATTCCTGGTTTCTGGGTTTGATGAACAAACTTGAGTCCTTTATCATAAACAAGGACAGGTTCTGAGTCAGGCTTCAGTCACGTTTACTGGAGTTAGTCGGGTTTTACGGCCGAGCTGCTTCTAGTAACAGTCAGAGAGGGTTTGTGCTCCCATCTGCCAAGTCACTAAAAAAACGTTACATTTGAAAACAGACCCGTTTTCTGCTCCAGCCCGCCTGGTTCGAGGGCTGACTCAGCTGTTCAGCAGCACGTATATGGCGCGGTATGGGGGCCAAAATTAAGACTACTGCCCAGCAGCAGGAGGATATATAAATTCTGAAGCAAACTACCGACCTGATTAATGATAAGCTGGCGCCGGTAACTGAGAGGCTGGCGCTGCTTACTGAGGAATAGCACCTTTACCAGTGTTACTACTAGATGCACTAGGGACTAGCAGCCCTCGGCTGGTCATTGACTGGTTCACACACTCCCTGTGCTGTCTATTAGCCTGGATAGGCTAGCGTTAGCCTGGATGGGCTTTTGTTAGCATCGGAGAGGCTAGCCATTAGCGTGCCTAGGCACTAGCTGGATTTCCTACCTCCTTGACGGACCTTAAGCATGGATAGGCTGGTGTTAGCATCGGAGAGGCTAACCCTCCGCTTATCCGGGTCCGGGTCACGGGGGCAGCATCCCAACTAGGGAGCTCCAGACCGTCCTCTCCCCGGCCACCTCCACCAGCTCCTCCGGCAGGACCCCAAGGCGTTCCCGGACCAGATTGGAGATGTAACCTCTCCAACGTGTCCTGGGTCGACCCGGGGGCCTCCTGCCGGCAGGACATGCCCGAAACACCTCCCCAGGGAGGCGTCCAGGAGGCATCCTGACCAGATGCCCAAACCACCTCAACTGACTCCTTTCGATGCGGAGGAGCAGCAGTTCTACTCCGTGTCCCTCCCGAATGTCCGAGCTCCTCACCCTATCTCTAAGGCTGAGCCCGGCCACCCTACGGAGGAAACTCATTTCGGCCGCTTGTATCCGCGATCTCGTTCTTTCGGTCATTACCCAAAGCTCATGACCATAGGTGAGGATTGGGACGTAGATCGACCGGTAAATCGAGAGCCTGGCTTTCTGGCTCAGCTCCCTCTTCACCACGACAGATCGGCTCAGCGTCCGCATCACTGCAGACGCCGAACCAATCCGCCTGTCGATCTCCCGATCCCTCCTACCCTTACTCGTGAACAAGACCCCGAGATACTTAAACTCCTCCACTTGAGGTAGGACCTCTCCCCTGACCCGGAGTTGGCAAGCCACCCTTTTCCGGTCGAGAACCACGGTCTCAGATTTGGAGGTGCTGATCCTCATCCATCTGCACTGACAAAACGAAAAACGACTGTGAGCGGATGTACATGTGCTAAATCTGGTGTTGAATCAACAATTACAGAGAAATATTTAGCAGGTTTGAGTTCCTCTGCAATCACTTGCTTAGTTTTTTCACCCTTTATTGAAATAAATTCTTCACACACAGGTGATGACAAGACAGACGGCTTACCTCTACCCTTATTGTCGCCTTTCTCAAGGCGCTCCTTTAAAAAGGGCCAACTCCACTATGAGTTCAAGCGGTCCCAAATAGTTCCCATTATACTCAAAGCCCAGCAGCTCGTTGTCACCTGGAAACGGCAATCCTCTCGATCCCAAAAGCGTAATAACAGCCACCGCATGTCTGAGGACTTCTTTCTAGCACTGCTGTTCTGACTCACGCTGTCGGGCAAGAGAAGCATCGCTCTGCATGCATACTCCGATCTGTGTAATAAAGACAGCATGTCCTGTCTATGTTCTGCACTCTTTTCATGACCACTAACCCTCTCCGGATGTTTCCAACCCCAGAATCCACGGATAAATGCATGCTTTCGGGATGACAGAAGTTTGCAGGCACAACAATAAACTGATCCAGTTGATGGCGAGTAAAGGAGCCATTCCCTTGGTGCAGTATGATCGTTTGAAAGTTGGAAGTGAAGCAGATCTTTGGTGAGGAAGCGTGTCCTACTCCCAAGTGTGGACTAAGACACCGATGCAGGATACTTGGTGGCCCGGTTCAGGAAAGCTGCAGGCCGTCGGTAAATCGCTTTTTCTCAGAGCTGCTCCGTAACGGTCCCACAGTGCAGGATCCCGAGGGAGCAGAGGCGTTGAGATGCAGGAGCTGTTCCTAGACTCGACGTGACTCAGGCGGCAGCGAGGCTTGAGATCCGCCATCACTGCTTCCTTCTGCGGTCCGACTCACTGCCTCTGGTTTGCTGCTGGATGTTGCTGCTGGCTCTTTGCTCTCCAGGCTGTGAACGTAAGCTGATGCTGGCGGTGTGAAAAGGCCTGGCTAGCTGAGTTGTCCTCGTTGTTGACGGAAGCTGACCCACTGAAGGAGTAACAGGGTTTCTTCTTCATGTGGAAAGGTGGAGAAAAGAGTGCCCGGGCGGGATTCAATCCCCAGACTCCCGGGTCAGAGTCACGCACGCTAACCAGTCAGCCAGAGGTATAATCCCCGTAGCCAAGTAGCCAGGGCGCTTGATCAGTCGGGATACAGTGACACTCACCCTGTCGCACACGTTCTGCGTGTTGATGCTGAACGATCGTCGTGACAACGCCTGTGTTTGGAAATTAACGGGCAAGCACCGTAATCAGAAGCACGTTTTGTGTAATTTTCATAACAAGACTGCTACGGCGGGTCATACAGAGCTACATGGCACACCGGCGGGACACACACACGTTTATTTCTCAGGTTTGATCAACAGAACAGCTCCTCCCCCGCCGCCGTATCTGCTCGGTCTGTCCCCCGGCCGGCTCCTTGTCCCCGCGGTCGCGCGTATAACAAAAGCACAAAAATCATTAGATGGCTTTAGCTCGTTTGTTTCTGGACATGTGAGGCAGATATATTTCTATTATATTCTGTCATGTGTCACGGTTCCTTCCGCTCAGCCACCTCAGACCCACAACTCACCCACCCAGGACTCCAATACCCAGCATTCCCCTCACCCAGATCTTCCTGTACATGTCACACCTGGAGTCTACTTGGCCACATCCGCCAACGCCATCAGCATTCAGTCATCGTTCGTGATGCCGATCGACTCGATCAACCTTCTCAACTTCACGACTAAGTCAACCTTCCTTGTTCCGGAGTGTCACCGCGACCTCGTCTTCCCGTCCCACCAGTGAATCCTCTCAGTCTGACGTCAGGAGACTTTGCCCGCCACCATGTGGGTAGTTCATCCACTAGAATTGGCCCTCAGCGTATTTTATCAGCTGCAGACCTGTAAAACTTTACTGTCCTACTGTAGTTTATTTGTGCAGCCTACAGCTCTACGTGTGTTAACCATGCTGATGGATTCTATGTTGCCACTATTTAGCTCTGTTTGTTGACGACTAACAGATAAACACAACGACGGTCATCAGGGAGGTGGGGCTTCATGGCCCTCCAGCCAGAGGCCAGAGGCCAGGGGGTGGGGGTGTGGACGTGTGATGTCATACTGCACTACGTTGCACCTCTAAGCCATGCTAAAACTCCATTGTGATGCATCAGAGGCAGGATAATGGGATGTGTGACATCAGAGGCAGGATAATGGGATGTGTGACATCAGAGGTTTAAAGCGGTCTTGGTATCCACGTTACTCTGGACCTTCTAAAGAACTTTTACTGTTTTTATTTGTAATTTTGAAGCTTGTTTCCTGCATTTTAGTTCTTGAATCTGATCCTTTTTAGATAAATGTTTATTTTTGTTTTGGACCTCTGACTTGGTCAGACATCAAAAAGAGCTCCTCAAAGTTATGAAACATGAAAATAAAGCGTTAGCACCTTTGAGTTAATTCCTAAAGAACAGAGGGATAAAAGCATGTCATTCAGCTGATCTCTGACCCTCGCTCAGGTTTTGCAGGACTAATCTAGTCCAGATAGTCCTAAAAACACCTCAGCATCTTCTGAACAAACCAAAAGTGTCTCAGAACCAGATCTGGGTCCTGGATAAGAAGACAGTCAGACTGTTGGATGATGGACCTCGCTGATTTCCCACGCAACTCCTTTAGTTTGTAAAAAGGTGTTTTTTTAATTTTGTTGTTCGACGTGATTCTGATCCAGAACGCTTCATGCAGCCAGCCTGCTGATTGCACTTCCTGTATCTAATGACTGCTTTTCTTTAATCAGAAGCAGAGAGAGCTCAGCTGCTTCCTGTTATCAAATCACCAC